CTTTAAAAATTCCATAATTCAATTTAATTTTATTGACTTTAATTGCTTAAAATTTTTGAGAAAAATGATTGCAAATGAAAATTTTTCATTGCTTTTCTGTATTTTTCAAATTATTTTGAGGCCAGGTGCAGTGGCTTATGCTGTGATCTCAGTGTTTTGGGAGGCCAAGGCAGGAGGATAATTTGAGGCCAGGAGTTCACGACCAGCCTGGACAACATAGCAAAACCTTGTTGCTACAGAAAATAAAATGAAAATTAGCTGGGTGTGTTGGCGCACACCTGTAGTCTTAGCTACTTGGGAGGCTGAGGCAGGAGGATCCACTGGACAGAGTGAGACCTTATCTCAAAAAAAAATTATTTTATAAAAGGAATGAAATACTTTCATTTTTAGTACCAACTATAACAAAGGCAGATGTTAGGGAAAATACACATTTTTTTCTTTGAGAGATTGATGTCTAACGTATCCTACAATGTAACACAAAAACGTGTTCTCGTATCTTTGCATTAAAAGTAATGAATTATTAAAGAAATATTAGTCACTTATTTTTTCTCCTTCCTAAATATCAGTGCATATTCAACTGGCCCTTGAATATATATTTTTTATATAATATCCGTCTATGAGACGCTTAGACTGATTTATACTAAATCAAAATTCTCCCATTGCGTTTAAGAGGAAATTTAAGGAAACATTATACATCTTTCAACAGTTTCAGATGGGTTTATCTCAATAGATTTAGTTGAATGACTTATCCAGTGACACACTGGAAGTGTATATGAAAAGTATGATGTGTAAAACTCTTGTTTCAGCATTCATTACACAAGTTTGGCATTTCTAAACTAGCACTGGGAACGGTTTATGATGTTAAGTATTTTAAGTTTTACTACCTCACAATAAATTCATTTCTTGAATGATTTTAATGCTTAAAGTCTCCTAAAATATAATGTTCAAAATTCCCCTGCTTTCTTATTTGAAGTTACAATAACTTCAGTTTCCTGCAGTTCAGAGCCCACTTGAGTAATATTTGAGAAAAGAAAGAAAAACACAAGTTATCTCTTTCTAATGTTTACTTACACTCTGAGATGCTAAACAAACTGATTAATCTTCATTAGGTAAGATAAATCATTGAAAAGAAAGTTCGAGTTTCTTGGAAAAGTGTTGAAATTGCCATTGACTATACTAATCCTAAATCTGTTGAAAAATTAATGATTGTTTTCAGAAAGTTACATCAGACTGCTATAATGGGAAATAGCGTTAACATGTTGTACCCATCTAAATAAACCCTACTTCAAACATCTGTCAGAATACTGCTTGCCTTTATTTTTCAACTAACATGTTAATAGGTCCCTTTTTGAAAATTTTTCTGGGTAATGGGGACTCATATTTTTTATTTGAAATATATTAGCAGATGTATTTGGTGTGAATGATAGAAGGTACAGTATATTGCTTAGTACAGTCCCTAATACTTTTCTTCAATAACAATAAAAACAAAATAATAGTAAGCACAGCTGTGTTCCTAACCCCAAAAAACTAAAGACCTTTATTTAGATACTTCATAGAAATTCCTTAGTAAGTAAATCCTCCCTTTTTACACCCAAGGAATCTTTTCTCAATAAATTCACCCACTCTAGTTATCAAATCCAAACATCATAAAAGTAAGTTGACGCCAATTATTTAACAAGCCAAACAAAAGCTTATCATTCTTTTCCTACCTTTTCCTTCACCCCTCCTCATCCTCATTAGTTTTTAATGCTTCTTTAACCTCAGAAACAATCATTCCTAGTTTATGTCAAAATCAGGACTTTAGAGTCATGTTTACCACTTTCTGTAACTACCTTAATTTTTAGGTTAAAACTACGGAGTGCTTCTTTTTAGTTCTTCCTAGCTTCTAATAAAATAGTGAGATCATTTCATTTAATATAATTGCTTATTTTATTATGATTTAATATACCAAATGTTTTTGTTCTCTAAATATACCTCTTCTCTGATTTTGTTGATATAAATTTAATAATATAATCTTTTAAAAGTTTGTTTTCATTCTTATAGTGCCCTGACTGGTTGGCTAGCTTTGAAATGTTGCTTTTCTTCCTAGTCCACACTAAAATCCATTGAATGTTCTAATTGCTCATAACACCATATAAAAACCTTGTCTACCACTTTTAAAAACAAACTGTGCATGTGAAAATGTCTTCTGATGTGACTGCACTGCTTTGTAGAGCTCAATAAAGCAGTTTTAATCCAGAATAAGGCATGCCCTAAATGTCAGACAGATATGCAACAAAAGAATCATCTTTATTTTACCTCAATTTGATGATATAATATATAAAATCACAAATTGGATTGTCAAAGTTTTACTAATTCCAAGCTATTGTAAAATAATACTCTATATATTTAAAGTGTTTATTAAGAAAAATCTGGCAAATTAGAGTAATAACTTAAATTGGAGAAGACAATAGTTTTAAGAAAAACAAAGTGAAATCAGGTCTTTATCTTAACAAATAAGACTCCTAAGAAACTGAAAGAAATCTTTTGAAAAGCAAGAATAAAGACAGATGTACTCAGGTGATAAGAAACAATGAAATAAAATCTTCCATTTTAATAATAGTTACAATGACCTTAATCAAATAAAATCTAAAAGTCACTAAGGTAAATGTCTACTAGTTTTAGAATTACAGTTTTGGCTGAATTATATTTTATGACTATATAATATTAGGATTCTTCAAATCTCTGAATTTGTCAGTTTATAGCTTGAAAGTACACAAAGCTTTCTAGATATGATTCAAGATTTTTTAAAAGTCTAAACCATAGATTATTGCAACAATGTTCTTTAATGTTGATTTTTGAATGTAAGAATAAATGTAATACCAGTGTAAGCCACATGGTGGGAGTGAAAGGCAAGAACTTGTGTTGAAACAGCTTAAATACATAATGCACTATCTTTACAAATTTTTTAAATGCTTGTTAAAGGATAAAAAGTTATAGTTTGACTTTCTTTCTTCCTCTACTACACTTCTCAGCAAAGAATCTATAACAAAAGATAAAGACATTGATTTAAATATATAGGCCATTATTGCTGAGTATCAAAAAAAGTAAACACATACACACAAATTTTTTTTCCTTAAATTTCTTCTGGTCATATAAGGTACTTGGTGATCACAGTATAGCAATTTTGATTAGTAGTTAAATTTGAGAAATTCCTTGAATTGCCAACACTGGATATAGTAATTGAAGAAGTTACCAGAAATGCTTTATGTCTTCACACTTTCTATCATTTTCCTTTTTCCTTTATTGTTCTCATGAAAAAAAAAAATCTATTGTGTGTGTGTGTGTGTGTATGTATGTATGTAAGCTGCCTCAACTTATTTTTCAATAAGGAAGATAAATAAATAAATTTTCCTTTGTGTTTTCTGTTAACTCAGTCTCATTTGAATTTGGAAGCAATTTAAAGTGGTAACCATTTTGTATCTTTAAGGTAAGAAGACAAGAGGTTTCTTCTCCTAGAAAAGAAACTTCACCAGGGAGTCTTGGCGTTCCTTTACTCCATGAAAGGTAGGTCTACATCCTTTTTTGTCAACTCTTAAAAGTTATAAATATTGAAATATATTTTAACATTTTAGCAATTGTAAGAAAAAAGCCTTTTAGGACTGGAAGAGACCAATTCAAGGGTCCTATATGTTAAATGACCTAAATAAGTCATACAGTTAATAGCAGAGTGGGTCTAAAAACTGAACTCTGTAAAGCTCTACTGTTTCAATAGACCAAGTATTATGGCCACATTGGATGGATCCTAATGTGAACCTCACCAAAGTGAGGAATATTTAATACTCTATTTAAGATGTTTACAGAGAACAAACTCAATACATCGAAATTTCTAATGTGAGAATAAGACAGCCAGCATCAGTGTGATATATGAATAAGTAGATAGGCCAGTCTGTACTACATTTATGTATTAAAACTTTTGATTTATCACTTACTGCATGCCTGGCTCTCCAGAGTTGTTTTCTGGGATATTTTCCTGGAATTTAAAATAAATTTTTTAACATCCAACTTTTCAATAATTATTTTGTTATCCATAATTGGTACTATGTAAGTTTAATTGTGAAAAAAAAAATTTGAAGTTATAGGCTTACATTTTAAAATATTCATCTGTTTTTAGGGGTAATATAGAGAAGACCTTCTGGGATCTGAAGGAAGAATTTCATAGAATATGCATGCTAGCGAAAGCACAGAAAGACCACTTAAGCAAACTTCATATACCAGACACTGCAACTGGTAAGGTTTATTAATATTAATATTAATTTGTTGGTTGAAATTGATTTCTTTTTGAATATGAAAATATTCCTAAGTGCTAAGGATCTGCAGCATACCTCTTATCCACATATATTTGAATGCATAAGTGCTGTTTAAATTCTATAATGTATTACATCATGTAATTATTGGCTTTTTCTCTGTCTTCATTGTATGTAATATTAAATAGATTGAATTGAAAGACATAATTATTAATCATCTTAATGAGAAATCCCACCTTAAAAAATACAAAATAAGCTGAGGCAGGGGGATCACTTGAGCCCAGGAGTTTGAGGTTGCAGTGAGCTGTGATGATGCTACTGTACCTCTAGCCCAGGCAACAGAGTGAGACCCTATCTTAAAAAAAAATAAAAAATAAATATATATCTCTCAAAGTTTTCAGTTGCTATTTGGGGGTCTTAATAAACATTAATTCATATGTTATTAAGCAATTTTAAAGCCACATTAGCATATATGAGCCAAATAAAATTATAATGTCAGGTTTGTTTTTAACTTCTGCCTGAAAGGTAGAACACTATGGAGATATATCTATATATATATTACGCTGCCCAGACTGGAGCACAGTGACTATTCACAGCCTCAAACTCCAAAGTTCAAGCAATCTTCCCACCTCAGCCTCTGGATAGATTCTTATAATTTGGTTCAAGAATAAAAATGTGACACATTTCCTGAGTGCCAGTTCTGTTGAAAGCACGAAATACAAATTTAGTATAAAATACAACTTAAAAGGAACATCTGTTTTACACATGTATCACAGTATGTTTTTTAAAACTCCACCCTTCCCTAAAACCCCAGATTGGCTTTCTGATGTTTGCTTCAGTAGTTCAATATGAATAGCAAAATATCAGAGATTGAGTCTGCCAACCAAGCACATCTGTAAACAAAAGGAAGGCAAACTGATCATTTATAATGATAAATTCTCCTTTACCCTTGTGATTTGAGCTATTCTGCAGACAATTCCCAAGAGATGTGATATACAGTTTTCACTGTGAGAGATGATGCAGCAGTGCCGACTAGCACCCCTTTAATTAAAAATCACTTTCCGTTTCTTACAGCGCTTACATTTAGGCTACTTAAAAATCATTTTATGGTATAAATTCACTTTTTGCTACTATAATTTTATTTTCAGAAAAGTTACACAACGTGATGTTAGAGAAACAAAACAATCTTTGTAGACAGACATAATTTGTTTCTTCCTCTCCCAACCCCCTACCTTCCCAAAAAGAACTCATTTCTCCACCTTAATTTTTTGTCTTTTTCAGAGAAATTGATCTTTGGTACAGACTAAAGAATATTAGGTACCTTTGAAGTAAATGAATTATTTTTATTTAAAACATGCTAGCTATAGAGATGTAGTACCTAGAATTCATAAACATGCTTTTTTTGAACATCAACATCTTATCAAAACATTGTAATGGTGATATATTCTTTGTCACACAGAGAACTTACCTCATTATCAATGGCTTAATACTTTGACCATTTTTAAATTGCACAGTTCTAAATCTAAGTATGTATCTGTCAACTAGAACGTGAGTGTTTAACTTCAATTTCTTCCCCACTAAAACTGCTTCCTAATATTATTCTTACGTTTTATATTAACTTTCTCACAAACAATACATTATTCTTGAAATATTTTAGGTGTTTTTTGTTACATACTCCAGTGAAGTTTTGCTGCGTCCAAATAGAAACCAAAATATCAAATATCATGCTCTGACAGTAGATCAAAAGAAGAAGAAAAAAAGAAATATTTTTTTTAAATATGCCTATTCAGGGTTTCCAAGTATGTATGATACATTGAATTAAAATATAGAACTATTTCAAATATGATGTGCATGATCTATCTGGAAAAAGTATATGTATTGTCCTTGTGCTATGTTATTAAAATTTGATTTTTACTTTTAAATAACCAAATATAATTCATGAAAAAAGTCTAAGTTAGTAGAATTGTACCTTTCCTTTTTTTTACTCCATTTTTTTCCTACTCATGTATGGCAAAAGCCTTGAGAAAGGATAAAGATAAACTGTACATTTATGCAAATATGGCTTCAAAAAAAAGTACTATTTGGTTCATAAAGGAGCATCTTGTTTCAGTGGAGATTAGGAGGGAAAAATATAGGATTGGGTTATAAACAACCATCAGGTCTTTTTCTTTTGTCAATATACAAGGTAATTATACTGAGAAGTAATCTAAATGGACAGCCTATACTTAAAATTGGAAGTCTACAAATATATCTCATTTTACTTTTTTTTCTTGCAAAAATAAGTATTTTTTAAAAAATAACTATTCTTGAAATGATAAAATAGAAAAGCTATTTGCTCACCTGATACTGTTTCTCAATACAGTGTCAGGATGACAAGTGCTTTCACGCTCCTCAATTGAGTTTTAAGTTTTCTAAGCTTGGATTCCTAGTAGCGTTAGGAATCTTAGTTTTAAATCTTTTTTTAAGATATATTAACTCTCATTGCTTGAGTAGACTAAGGCTGGATCATTTTCTCATGGCTGAGGTTGTGTGCCAGCTAGCAATGCTCAAGGAAAATCTGCTTTGTTACAGCTATTTGATTTCTCCATGTTTTGTTCACAAGAGGGATAGGTCAACTGCTAAAAAGTAATTCAAAGCACATTTCTGTCAATTTGGGGACTCCTCTCTATATATGGAAACAAACATGTTCAATTTAGCATAATGGTTCAGAGCACAGACTCTAGAGTTAGACTGCCTGGGTTTCGGTACCACATCTACCATTCATTAGCTGTGTAGGCTTGGAATGTACCAGTTTCTTTACATGTAAAGTGGGGATAGTGCCTACCTCAGGAATATTTTGAGTATTAAATGAATTAATGCACACGCAATGATTATTACAATGTATGGCACATGAAGTGCTATTAATGTTAATAGTCGTCATTAGCAGCAGCAACAGTTCTTCAGTGTTTGCCTTGTTCTCCTTGAGAAGAGCATTTGATAAGTCTTTTCTTCCTTCCCAGGTGTTACAGAATTTGATTACCTCAACAGTTGGTTTTCCTGATTTGTATTTGCAGTTAGCAAATGTTATCTACAAAGACAGTACTGTTTCCTAGAATTTCCTGCCACTTTTAAGTCTATTGCCAGGAGATATGACTACTTGAGAGTTAATAGATTTTAAGAACCTCAGTAGTCAAAGAAATTCAGCTAAACAATTGAGCTTGGTCTCGATTACTATAACACTCCTAGTCACAGACAGAATATCTAGTAAATGTCAATTATTATCGTAGGCTTTGTGGGGAATAGGTTATAGATTCACTCAGAATTCATTTATTAAGGGCATACTATATGCCAGGCACTGGGCAGGGTTCTGGGGTAAGTGGGGAATGAAAAATAGTTTAGGACCTAAAAAAACTTACTTAGTGAGAGAAAGAGAGGTATACTTGGAAATACAGTCATGTGCCAGATAACTATGTTTCTGGTCAACGACAGACCACATATATGATGGTGGTCTGATAAGATTATAACAGAGCTAAAAAATTCCTACCGCTATTGTAACATTGTAGTGTAATTACTTTATTTGTTTTATAAATTTAATGTAGCCTAAATGTGAAGTGTTCATAAAATCTACAGTAGTGTACTGTAACGTCCTAGGCCTTCACATTCACTTACCATTCACTCACTGACTCACCCAGAGCAACTTCCAGACCTGCAGGCTCCATTCATGGTATGTGCTCTATATAAGTGTACCTTTTTTTATCCTTTATAGTGTATTTTTACTGTACCTTTTCTATGCTTAGATGCACAAATATTTCCCATTGTGTTACAACTGTCTGCTGTACAATAACATAGCCTGGGAGCAATAGGCTATACGCTATAGCCTGGGTGTGTAGTAGGCTATTCCACCTACGCTTCTGTAAGTACACTCTATGCTGTTTGCACTACAACAAAATCACCTAACGATGAATTTCTCAGAATATATCCCAATCATTAAGTAACACATAACTGTATAACAGAGTGTTCAGTCCTCAGGACAATGAAGAGTCATGGGAGAGCCATCTAGAGAAACTTATGTCTAAGCCAAGATATGAAGGACAAATAAGAGTTAGGCAAAGAGTAATGGGAGGGGACACATCAGGCAGTCTGCGTAGCATGTGCAGAGGTGCAAAGAGAAGATGGCATGGCCACTTTGGAGAACTGTACAAAGTTCATTCTAGCTAGAGTATGGAATGAAGCAGGTGTGCTGAAAGATGAGCATGGAGAGGTAACCAGGGGCCAATTAAGAATAGTTTTATATGCCTTGGCTGAGGGCCGAGGGCCGAGGGCCTTGGAGAGCCATAAAAAGGTTTTATTAGCAAGGTGACCAGATTTGTATTTTGGAAAAACTACTCTGAGAAGGAGGGGATGGAGGAGAAGTTGCAGTGAAGAGAGCAGATTGGATATGACACAAATTTAGAGGCAAGCTAGCAGTTCAAAGGCTGCTATAATAATCCAATAAGGAGGGATGATGTGGACTAAAGAGACAATGGATATATAACAGGATGAAGCAAAGACGTTGGTTGCATTTACTATACACATCATATCCAAACAGAAAATATCTTGTGTTGGAATGTGCTGTGGCAAAAGATAGGTGTCATAAGACTGCAAAGGCCAAAGGAATATAAAGGAATTGACATTTGATAAATGCCTACTAACCTGGACAGACACTTTGCAAGGTTCTTTATATACCCTGTCTACTTAAACTTGCATCATTAGTAAAGCCTCCATTTTGAATATATAACTTTACTGATGAAAATCTTTTTAAAATACTAATTTTTAAAACTTTTACTATTTATTCATTACATGAAAATACATACATTACAAACATCACTGCCTTCTTGAATGGACATTGTAGAGAAAAATTTAGCTTTTCATGATGTCTCAGGATCAACATGAAGAGTACTTTGGTTTTTTGTATCAAGAAACGTAGCCCTGGCCGGGCACGGTGGCTCACGCCTGTAATCCCAGCACTCTGGGAGGCCGAGGCGGGCGGATTGTTTGAGCTCAGGAGTTGGAGACCAGCCTGAACAAGAGCGAGACCCCATCTCTACTAAAAAAATAGAAAGAAATTAATCGGACAACTGAAAATATATAGAAAAAATTAGCTGGGCATGGTGGCACACGCCTGTAGTCCCAGCTACTTGGGAGGCTGAGGCAGGAGGATCGCTTGAGCCCAGGAGTTTGAGGTTGCTGTGAGCTAGGCTAACGCCACGGCACTTACTCTATCCAGGGCAACAGAGTGAGACTCTGTCTCAAAAGAAAAAAGAAACATAGCCCTTGTTGGCCCTATACTAGACTGTAGTGGTTTTCTGAATTTTTATATCTGATCTTTTGTTTTTCTTGTCTCCTCTCATGCTTTTAGCTCTTATTGATATCTGTCTCTGCCTTTAACACTCATATCCCCTTTTGATTTGCTGTTTCAAACCAGCTATGAGCTAGGGAAACATCATCAAGCTTGTTAGAATAAAACTAAAATGAGAATAGTAGCAAAATTCATACGTCTATGGACCTTGTGGCTCTAATTCTGACTCCTCAGAAGCTCTACTTTTATTTCTTAACTTTCTATGTCCTAGAGAGCTGAATTTGATATAAGAGATAAGTAGCTTCTAGATAAATGAGCTACAGAGGCCCTGGTATCTACCTTGTATCTAAAAAGAGGCCTTTTTTAAAATATGAGAAAATCCCATGTTCACATGCAATTTTCTTAACATGCATGCCAAAATTTCATTCTTCTTTTGCCTCCACTGTCTTTTTTCTCCCTAACCCCTACTACCACTACTCCCTCCCCTGGATTTTTTAGAGTAGACAATGGCTAAACTGATTAGCAATATATTTAGTTACACAGTGATGTTGGGGGTAATAAATGACCTAACTTACACACACACACACACACACACACACACACACACACACACACGCCTAATAAGAGCTTTCCCTTTTAACAACTTATTTGTCTAAGCAAGCCCACAGTTGCAGCTTCCGATTACTGACAAAATGTTTAAATGTATACACTATAAGCAAATGTTTTTTAAGTATGGAGCAGTATAACTGTGAACAAGATGCAAAGCGTACAGCAAAAGACCTAGGAAAAGACAAAGCAGTTAAATTTCGACTAATAAGGTATGTTTCAGTTAACCGGCTGGAGACTGCTAATACTCCGTGTAAGATGGTAACAAACATAAAAATCCCAGTTGTCTTCAGTTGCTATAAAAACCAATATAAAAAATAATACTCATCTGTCCAAAGCTGACTGAACAGATTTTTAAAAATCATTTGAATGCGACTGTTTCCCTTTTGTGTTCTTTTCCCTACAGAAACACAGTGCTCTGTGCCTATACAGTGTACGGATAAAACAGATAAACAAGAAGCGCTGTTTAAGCCTCAGGCTAAAGATGATATAAATAGAGGTACACCATGCGTCACATCTGTCACACCAAGAGGACTGGGTCGAGATGAGGAAGACACCTCTTTTGAATCACTTTCTAAATTCAATGTCAAGTTTCCACCTAGGGACAGTGACTCGACTTTCCTACATAGCACTCCAGAGAGACCCGACATCCTCAGTCCTGCCACATCTGAGGCAATGTGCCAAGACAGATTTAATATGGAGCTCAAAGATAATCCAGGAAACTTTGTTAAAACAGAAGAAACTTTATTTGAAATTCAGGGAATTGATCCCATAGCTTCAGCTATACAAAACCTTAAAACAACTGACAAAACAAAACCCTCAAATTTTGTAAACACTTGTATCAGGACAACTCTGGATAGAGCTGCGTGTTTATCACCTGGAGACCATAATGCATTATATGTAAATACATTCCCACTTCTGGACCCGCCTGATGCACCTTTTCCCTCACTTGATTCCCCAGGAAAAGCTATCCGAGGACCGCAGCAGGTAACTGTTTTGCATTAACAAATATATTATTATGTGTGAACACACATTTTGCCATACATGCACAGATATGCATCTCTTTTAGGTTATCAGACATCCTTTTTAAACTAATGACTAGCCAAAGGTAAGGCTTTCATTAAAACATGTAAGTCCTGTAATAAATGACATGAAATTATAAAAGATTAATATGGTAAAGCTCTATTATAAAGTACCTTGAAATGTATGGCAGACGTTAAAATATATGTAAGCCTTATTCATGTCTATTATGGGTGTCACTTTCTTAGCTCCTTAGTCAAAGATTGTTTACGCAGCATCAGTTTATAATAGGATTCTTTTATTAAATTTAACGCTGTAAAATAAATGGTTTCTTTATTGATAAGTTTATATCATACTCATTTTTACAAGAATGCACAATTTTCCATAAGTAAATAATTGCATCGTATATTCCTAATTATCAAACTAAGTGAACTGTCTTTCAGCTAATACTTCTATTACATTCTCAGTTATTTAGTACGTAGATCTGTAGGGTTTAGTTTTGGTTTTGGTTGCTAATTTGGCACTAAACATGCAGCCTAATATATTTTTCAAATAGTCTCTGCATAGGTATGATTTCAATCAAATATTTTATTTAATGTTTCTAAAGCTCACAGACTACTTATAGCCCCACAAGCCATTCCTACCGCTCCTTTTTAGATTCAGGTTCTATCACAAAATGATTCTTTTAGTTAAAAAAAAAAGTGTTTAATGACTGAAAACAAATGAAAAATATATAATTGTTACAATAAACAGAAGCTCATGAAAATACAGACTGATGTAAATATCTCTATAATTTGCAAACATTTGTTTGATTTCTCTTTGACCTGAGATACTTAATTTAAAAAAAAAAAAAACTTCGTTAATACCCTTTGGCTTTAAGTACTTTTATAAGTTATAGACTTTTAAATCAGCATGCAAAGAAGGCAATAGGCAAGCTGTAATATATTTTAGTAGTAGGAAAAACTAGGCATAGCTGACAATAAGTTTTAATTATAAACTCACTTATGTTCCACATTGTACCTTATTGCACATCATAGACTCAGTTATAATTGCTACTAAATGAAACAAATTAAACAATTTCATTTATTGCAAGTAGAATTCCTGTGGAGCTGTGAAGTGCATCAGTTCTAATGCTTGCTACTCTTTTCTCCATTGTATTAATATCTCCTGCTTGTTCTTTTACTAGTCTGTGCATTCATGTTTCAGTAGATGGCACCCTGCATTGTACATTTGCTTTCTATACTACAGCAAGGGAAACAGTTGGTATGTGATTACAACTTGATGGAAAAGTATTCAGCTTAAAAAAAATGCAGGAGAATTGGTGTTGAGCTGTCACAAGACATGGGGCATAAGGTTAGATAATTGATATCTTGGCAGAAAAAGCAAAGAAATTAGTTTGTTTTGAAGGCCATGTTACAGTTTAGGATTGAAAGAATGTTTCTTAAAATGGGTTTTAAAAAATATTTTGCTATTTTAATCGATTAATAAAGTTTGTATGATAAGTACAGAATTCTTGAGTTACTCATAGATAGTAACAAAGAAGTAAAATTTTAGTTACATATTTCAAATTTTTACTTTGTTTGAATCATTACTACTGAACACCTCTTTTATACATTCAGCTATCATAACAAAGACTAAAACATGTCAACTTGTTTTTGTTCTATGTGATTTTATTTTTTGCTTTTTTCTACTTTTGCTGAGTCAGTGATTGGCGTCCCAACTAAATTCTATGAAGAGATCAAATCTGAACTAATAGCTCTTCATAGAGAAGGATAAATGTGGACTTTGAACATAAATTGGCAATGAAAGATTAGCTTAACAAATTTAGAAGCTAAATTGCTTCTAAGTTAATTTCTTACTATTTTATAGGTCTTAGTAAGAATTCTCTTTAAAATAATAATCTTTTATTTACAGCCATATCAATTTCCCATTAGAGTGATTTGTACTCTTTTGTTTAAACAGCAAACAGTAAAATTTGAATCTACTTAACGCTAACTAGATTTTTGTTTATATACTCACAATTATTACTACTTTTTTTTATCATGGAAGAAAGATTTTTCTAAAGAAAACAATTTTACCCCAAATTGTATAACATTTATTCTAAATATTACTTATTTGCATGATAAAATTGCCACTTCTCATGAAAGGAATTGAGTCAATATTATTATAAGCCCTCTGTACTGATGATACATGAATGTATCTCAGTGCCTAGACAGACTTTGTATATTTACACCAATTGTACACAGCTGTCCAATAAAATGTTCATAAGACGACAGTGATGTTGTGAAACCCAAATGCTTCAATTAGTAATATACTGTTTATGTAAATGATTGGTTAACCAGAATGAAAGAACTTAGAGGAATGAAAATTAACACTGTCAGGTGCTGGACTAGGCTTTAAAAACATATTACTTTAAAAACATATTAGTAATAGGAGCATAAGAAGTCTCTAAATTTGACTTTATGAGGTGATTCTCCTCAAAGTATCAGAATTTAGCTATGTCAGGGTAATTTACCTGTGCAAGGAAAAAAAGAAAATTTTAAAAATAATTAGGTTTACACAATTCAGGAAAATAATACATTTTCCAGTCAAACATTTATTGAGCACCTATTATTAAACTAAATGCTATTTCTTGTCCTTTTAGAAGTTTTTTTTTTTAAAAAAAGGATAAATACAGTATGGAAGGGTGTTTATATGCTGGTTATAATGGACATGATTATGTTAAATTATGATTTTTTCCATATTTCTTTAACGAGGCAACTATTGACAGGTTAGACTTTACTCAGCCACAAGAAGGAATAAGGCTAAAGTACTTATTATATAATAAGAACAAAGCAAAAAGTCAAAAGAATGCATCTGATGTTAGAATTTGCTGAATTTAAATATTTGAGTTTTCAAGAAGCAAAAAAATAACTCTAGTGGAATTTGTTTAGTAGTTTAAAAGAAAATTTTTCTTTTTAAAAATAAAAATGCTGAATCATGATTTATTATGTATTTGCTTATAAATATTACTGAAATTTAACTTGCTTTTGATTAAGATGTCATGCATATACACACACATCATGTCTAGTGTACCACCATGTGATTAATAAAGGCCCTATAACTTAAGGTTTCTATTGTAAAATAGAAAAGGTAGAATTTAATTTAAAAATCTAAAGTATTGATTATTGTTCCAAAATTACTGCCATTGTAATAATTGAATATCAAAAATTGCTGGTACTAAAGCTGCAATATTTTTAAATATGTAAAGATAAAATGCATGAGTATGTGCCTCAGGTGATTTTTAATCAAAGTTTAGTTGTGCCCTTTATGAGAAAAAGAGGCATATCTTCATGCTGACTTTATGGAAAAATAATTTGCTTTCATATTAGGAAATTAAATATATATGCTCATAACGCATTCAAAAAATTTGAACTTGAAATTCAGTGCTATTTGATTTGAACACAAGTAACAGAATATGTTTTTGTTTATTTGTTTCCTGCAGCCCATTTGGAAGCCCTTTCCTAATCAAGGCAGTGACTTACTGGAACTAAGTGGCACAGACTCAGAACTGCATATACCTCGAGTATGTGAATTCTGTCAAGCAGTTTTCCCACCATCTATTACATCCAGGGGGGATTTCCTGAGGCATCTTAATTCACACTTTAATGGGGAGACTTAAGACACATTTGAAATCAGACATATCAAGTCCTATGCAATAATTTTGGGTTTGTAATACTATAACTACTTGATTATGAACTAAATTCAAGATCATTCATAGGAAAATCTCTTTTCACAGCTATTTGAAATTTTTTCTAAACTTCTTTTATAACTTTAATTATCTTTTAAAAGATCATTCTGTACAAAACTGTAGCTCATTGTATTCATGTTTACAGTGTTATCACCAGAATTCAAAATTATGTATGTGACTTAGAGTTATATAATCATAATTTATGTTCGTTTCAAATATCTAAGCTTGTTACTTGGATTTCTAGTGAGATGTATTGACTTTGGTTATGTCAAATGTTTATACGGTTTTTTCATTTGTTTTCATTGAAAAATTTAGATTATTTATGCTATAGGTGATATTCTGTTTGAATAAATCTATAATAGAGAATAGGAAACAATGTAAACATCTAAGTAAATGCCAAACCAAAGGTATTTGTTGCCCAGTGATAAAATCACTGGTAGAATTAATTTAAATATATTAGATTATTTTTAATGATATACATGGCTTTAATTTTTGCTATGTGTGTAGCTACATGATGAAATGAATTGAATGTTGAAAGAATTACTTATGTTGTGATCATTAGTGTGTTCTTTGTTCCTGAGTTTTAAAAAAATGAAATAAATCACATTTTGGAAGAAGTTTATAAAATTCATGTTTTCCTTCTAGTAACTTGATAGAAAGGTGATGACCAGATCCGATGGCATTTATTACAATTAGTGGATCACTTTGAATTTTAAAATTATTTTTCAAACTAAACTTACTAAAGAAACATTTGTTTTTAATGGGAGCAAGTCTAAAAAACACTGTGAGGACTATCCAAATTTATTAATTTAGATTAGCAATGTTCACATTCTTGTTACAAATTTGTTATTCTTTGATAGCAGCCTGATTCATGGCCAATGTAAGACATTCGAGAGAATGGATACCAAATTCAGAAAGCTGCAAAAATTCTTTAAGTCTTTCCTTTCGTTTTTCTTCCCTATTCCCTATAATTCTTGCGTTTTGGGTTTCTCTTTTCTCCTGATTTTTAAAAAATGTTTGAGGCCTGGCTTCCATTTTATGACGTAAACGTTGATTTGCAACTCTAAAACAAATTTAAGCCTTCTTGAAGCAAGTGTTTTAAGCTGGAGGGTTTGGGATAGAGGAATCTGAGCAGGCCCCTGTGCCACAGTGAAGAGCCTTAACTTGTGGAAGAATGAGAGTGGTGACTTGACTTCTCAGAATACCAAGCACATCACATTGACATCTCTTCCTCATCAAGGTGACAGAGCGATTATTAGGTATTCACTGTGAAGGGTTCTGAGGCATGTACATCTTTCTTTCATTGCCACTGGGGCTGAATGGAAATGCCTAGACAATTATCCAAGTCTCTTCCCTCCCCGCACCCCCCACCCAGCCTCCCCTGTCACTCCTCCCACACGCACACACACAAAATTAAAAATAAAAACTTCCCAGCGTGTACCAGCCAGATTATACCACTGTACCTATCTCATGAAAGGGGATTCTTTTTTCCCCTCTCCTTTTCTAGAAGGGGAGAGTCGTTCTCACACAGTTGACATCTACTAGCTTGCTGACAACCAGAGGAAACTCTATAGCCCAGAACGTGACTCAGATTGAAGTGTGCCATTGACCCCTCCAGTCCACCCTTTCCCCACCTCCTCCACCACTTTTAGTAAGAGTAAGGAGCTCCATTTTCTTTGGGGTTCCATTGGTACCCCAAGCTCCATCTTCTGAGGGACAGGAGAGCGGCCTGGAGAGCAGGCCTCTGTCCCGTTCTACAGAGGTAGTGCTAGCCAGGGCCCGAAAGGTGGAGAGGGCACCGCCGGGTCTCTCTCTGTCTCTTATTGCTGAGTCGTGCAGAGGCTGGCTCTTGGCATCTGCTAAGCGTGGCCGGGTAAGAACAGCTCCCAGGTAAAAAAGCTGCACACGCGAAACGCTGAGTCTGAAGAAGCCACCCCCGCCGAGGCGAGGCAGTTGTGAGCGGGATGCCTGAGAAGTGGGAGGTGAATGTCCTCGGGAGGGCCCCCCCGGAGCAGCTTTCCCCGGAGGCTGAAGCTGCTGCCAGCGGGGACATCTGCTTTCTTACACTCCAGCCTGGCTCACCCCGCCCCCTCAGCCCTGGGTTGCGTGGTTATTTTACCAACACGGGGGGAGGGAGAGCTCGAGGAGGTAGAAAACGGGTGGATGGAAGCTTAGAAGATTTTCTTCCCACTCCCCCCACGTCCCCTCCTCTCTTCTTCACATCTTTTAACCTTCAAGGTAAAGACTTTATAAATACGAAACAATAAACGTGTCCGCTGGCTCCGAGGCCCGCCTTCGGCCGGCCGGGGCTCTCGGGTGCGGGGCCTTGCCCCCCTCTCCGTCCTCCCCGAGTCGGGCCGGGCCTCGGCGGTTCGGCTGGGTGCAGGGGCCGGCCGGGTGCGCCGAGCCTGTGGCGCCTTCTCTCCCGGGCTGCTGCCTCGACAGCTGCTTGTAGCTACAGTAATTAGACTGTCAGTGCTTGTTAGAGGAGAGAGGGGAAAACACGCTTCTGACAGCAGATTCCGAGACTCCCCAGTTTGTTAATTTCTAAGAGATCTTTAAAGCATTAATTGAGGTCTCCCCAACTCTCCCCACCCGTCCCTCTCCCCAACTCCTCCCTTCCCCAAAATATCTTTAGGAGAAGAGAAGTCTCTCCGCGTGGAAGCAGTGTTTCCCGCAAAACTGCCAGCCCGCCCCCCCTCCCCGCTCACGCACAAACACCCTGTTTTACATATACATATATATGCACACATGTATACACGGAAGGTTAACTCGGCGGAGGACTCGCCCAAATAGGCACCGGGATTGCATTTAAAATAATAATAATAATAAATAAATAAACTAAGAAGAAAGGGGGGAGGGAAGCAGAAGTCGGGAAGAAAAGAGAAAAAGCAGCAGGCTGATTACGAGGTGTCAAAACTGCCAGGAGCAAGAAGGTGATAGCAATCAGGGGTGAGAAGAGTGCGGCATTCGTGCGGGGCAACTAATTATCCGTCTCATTTGAGAAGAGCAGCATTTGAGGCAGCAGCGTTCGCCTGCTGAACGGTGACAGATTGGCGCGGAGGAGAGGGGAGGTGTTAAAACAATGGAGCCGGGCGCGCGAGCGCTGCTGCATGCTAATCAGCCCTCCCTCCGCCTGCCTGCCGCGCTCCCTCCTTCCTCCCGGCCTCCCTCCTCCGCGCTCCCTCCTCCCGCCTGCGGCGCTCCCTCCTTTCCAGCGGGCCTGCCGCCGCCGCCACCCGCTTCCTGCTCCCTCGCTTTCCCGCGCGTCCTTCCCGCCTCTGGCGAGTGGAACCCAGCCACCGCCGCCGCGTCCCTAGCTGGCCCGGAGCCCCCGCGCAGCCCCCTGCGGCACGCTCTGCGGGCCCCGCCGAGCGCAGCCCCGTGCTGGTGCGCCAGAGGGCCGGGCCTGCGCCCAGCGCCCACTCCCCGGGGCGCCTCTTGCGGAGGGACGCGAGGGCCGGCGTTCTCCGTTCCAGGTCGTGGAGAAGAGGCCGAAGAGCCTCGTTTCTGCTGGTGAATCGGACGCGCTGGCCAAGCGAATTCCAGGAAGGGCGAGGGACGGCCAGAGGTGGGAAGAGAGGCAGGGCCAGAAAGGCCAAGAAAGGCCCTGGACTGGCTGCAGAGCCGCCCTAGCGGGCCGCCACCCCAGAGGCCTCTAGCCTCCCCCAGCCCGCCCCCGCTGGCCTGGGCAAGTCCGTGAGGTCAGCCCCCAGCAAAGTCTCCGGCGTTGCGGCCCTCGGATCCTAGCACCCTCCTCTTTCCCCCGCAACTGCTCGTACACGATTTAAATAACCACAGAGAAGGCACATAAAGGGCTTTAGCATTAGTTGTGCTTCCAAGGCCTGACCTCCTGACCCCAAGACTAGACTAACAGGCTGTCTGGACCCCCAGAGAAACCGCATAGGACTGTCAATGGGGAAAGAAAGGCCTCTAAAGAAGCGGGCCACCCGACCCCTGCTGCGGAGACTGTGGGGGCGATGGGGGCCCGGGCAAGTCTGGCAGCACAGCTCCTTGCCTCGCTGCCCCTGTCAACACTCTTGCCTGACAGAAGCTGGTCAAAAACTGCAGCGCCTGGGCTGCCCCTCGACAAAGAATCCACCAGAACCTGGGTCTCTGCTGAAAAAGGTCTTCCATACCTGTTGAGGCAACCCTGAGGTTCTGATACAACTTCCCCCTACTTTTTGAGCTTAAAAGCTGATTGTTGAGCTTAAAATACACTTTTATTCCTACCATTAAAATATTTTACCGTTACAAATTTACATAAACTATCTTTAGAGATTAAAAACCATTGACATTCTTTTGGCTTAAGTGGATTAAATGGTACACAGCCACGGAGAACTGGTAGAAGTTTGGACTTAATGAGAATGCAATTCCTTCTAACTCCTCCCGTGCTATTTAGCTAACCAGGTGTCAAAATTAACATAATAAAATTTCCTTCCCCTAAGCCATAGATGGAAAACGAAAGTAGCTGAAACATAATCTATGCAATATAATCTTTTTCTGCTGACACTTACCTTTGCATAACTTTACACACACAATTGTTCATTTTTAAAAGTCAATTTAAAATGTAAAGGTTTGATAAAGCTCAGTCATATATATGCAAAGGTTTCATTCATACTGTTTTCTCAACTTTTCTCTGTAATGTTTCACAATAAAAGTACACAAAAATAAAATTAAAAAGACGAGTAAATTTTGGTATTTTTCTATCATCATTGATCCTAGTCATATGAAAACTACACAGATTGAATCATTTTTTCCTTTTAGAATATGCCCAGGCATACCAATAGAATAGCAGCTGAATGTAAAATTATTAGGGTCTACTAAAATAATACAGAATGTTTAGAAGTTTTTAAACTGAAAATTCTTAGAAGAGTTACATAAAGGATTTTGTACAAATAAATGTTAATGCTTTTTGGTTTCCGCTTTTTGGGAAACCACTAAGCAGGCCTCTGCCCTTAGCATATCACAGACTTTTCAATGTTAGAGTATTAGTTGGCATTTGGAAAATTCCCTGGAATCTGAATTTGTTAAAATAGCAACCTATCTAACAGTAAAAAAATTTAACTTTACATTTATTCTTGTAAACTTGGAGATTCAGATGCTCCATCAGCATCAATATTAAGCAATTTATTAACTATTTATCAGCCTTTTCTTCATTAACCAGTTCCATAAAAGCAATGTGTATCTCCCTGAGCCTATGAACCTATTGAGCATAAATAAATTTAGTTCAATTCCATGTTGTGTTATTTTTAATATCTAATCAAATTCTTCACCTTCCAATAACTTGGTTTTTAATGGGTTTAGTGTAATTTCTTCTCAGTCTACAGACCTCACAAATTTGCGTGATTGTTTTAATGGTGTATTTACAGATAAGTTTTTATTTGCACATAAGGACAAAAAGGTGAAGTGAAATTTGGTCCCAATGGAAACCTGTTAGGTTCCCTGAACATATGGCTCACTGGGCTGTTACTTCCTTTTTGAGATCATTTTCCAAGATTTTTTAATATATACATCAATTTGACACCAGTTATAAAGAAAATATATTGGCTTTGAAGATGCCTCCACCTGGGGCATATCTCTTAATAACAAACCATGTAGTGAGGTGTACCTCTGAATGTATAGGTTTCCAGTCTCCGAGAACAGGGCATAATTTGAAACCAGTCAGAGCTGCCATTTGATTTTACACTGTCTTAGAAATTAGGTAGGTCTAAGGATTCTTAGAATGCCACAATGATTTGATTAATACTGTTTAGGGGTAACTGCCTAAAACTCTTTTTCAGAAGGCTATGCATTTGGAAGCCACAGTATTACAATGACTTCTCTCCGCAGATACAAGTGATGTAAGTCTCATGTGTGGTGCCAGCTTAAGACTTAAGGGGAAAATCACAGCACTTTGAAAAAGATGTAAATGTTCAATTGGTAAAAAAGTGGGGAAAACCGTGCTAAAACATGTGCCTATTTCCATTATGCTTAATTTACTATTCAAAACAAGTTTTTCCTAATAAGCTCTATTGTTTCTTTCTGTTTTGTAAAATTTAATATGTGTGAGACAAAAACCAGATTCAGAATGTGAATGAAGTCTGTTTAGCAAAAGATCGTTGGAGCTTACAGTTCAAGAAGGGCCTCAAATTAAAAGAAATGTCACCTCTATCACTGATGGGACATAAGGAAGCCAGTTTCTTGGGTCATTTTTAGACCTAGTTACAACTGGACTGCCAACTTCCTCCAGCCTCAGAGCTCCTTGTGGATGAATTCATAGGCTTAATGTGCACCAAGCACTAGAATATTCAGAATGATTATGCTACATATATTTACTAAATAGCTTTAGTTTTCATTTTATTGTAGTCCTCTTCTTTCTGAGGCCTCAATCCCCAAACAGGACTGAAGTAAATTCTCAAACTTGTTATTCTCTTGTCCTGCCTATAAAGGGTTATTTGTCTTTAAGTCACTCACACTTCTCCAGAGAATTTGCACCTGATTATGGAATCCCTTGATGTTTAACCAGTCTCCCACGTTTGAATGCCCCCCTTGGAATCTAGAATACCTGGACAGCCTGGAGCGTGCCCACATATCCTTTGTTGTTCAGGGCTTTACTATGAATACATTCAAACACTATCTTGCTGATATCCTTTTGAAGGAGTGTACAAAAAATGAGTTATCACTTATTAATTAATTCAAGGAATAGTTGTTTTTAAAATAACAAAATCTTAAGGAATGCCTACTTCAACTTTCTTTTTGTGTGAACAAAACAAAAAATAAACAACAACAAAAAACTACATCTAAAGAGGATGAAGGAGTCCCTCACACCTACTCAAATAGCTAGAACGCAACCCAAGCTCTCCTGCCTTTCAATCCACTATATTTTCTATAATAATTCCTTACCTCAAAGAAAGTCTACTTTTTCACTGACTTTGTACTTGGCCGCATAGAAAGCTTAAGACATATCCAAAGTCTTTTTACACAAAAAGACTAACCATTATTCTAAACCACAGAGAGGGTAGGGAGCCTGACATTACCTGACAATGGGGTGGGGTTTATTATTTAAAGATTGTCAATTTATCACCATCTAACAAGGGCCCCAGTACATTTCTGCTGGGAAAAGCAGCACCTTAAAGAACCAGGTGTTAAACATTTCTCAGGCCTGCTCCAGTGAAGGAAGAGAGAGTATTGGGACACATTTTTGTAGTTTGAGACACAAACTAAGATAAGAGGGAAAGTAAAAAGGATTTGTACCTCTAAAGTATGAAGTTAAACTGCACCATAACCACCAAACCACAATGCTAACTTTTTAAATAATCTAAATTCTAAACTAAAGGTTAAAGTTTGGGAAAGAAAAAAGAAATAGCAAACCAGTATGAACTGGAAGTGAGTTTATGTATTTTCTAAAACTATTGATCTGGAACTAAAACGTTGTCTAATCCAAGCAAATACTTCATTTGGTTCCAGAGTTGGCCTTCACTTGTCTAGCTTGAGATGGCCCTTGTAGCTCAGAAGGAGGTCTCAGCCTTATATTATCTTCCCTTGAGTGTTGGTGAATCAACTGAAAACAGCACTCATTAGACAAATAGTTTCCCCATTTGCAGTTGTTAAATAGCACAGTGATGAACAGGCATCCAGTGTGGGTGTATTCATATCACTTCAAGCAATTGGCTTAAAAGGAAGGCTAGCTCGCAGGAATCCAGAGTATCAGTGAGGGCGATAAAGCTTGCTTGAAAAAGCTCTAACTGGGACTGGGGAAGAAATGCAAGCAGCAGGCTCCCTCCATAAAGCAGCTTTGTGACGCCCTCACACTCACACACACTTTAATATGCAAAGGCCCACTGTTGTGTTTAGTTTTTCCTGAGGTTTTACCATTGGCATTTTGAAAGCCTTTTCTTTCAGCATCTGCAAGACTCTGGATAAGATGGATTTCTAGGCTAGAGGCTTTGATAAATTTCAAAGCAGACTTCCACTCTATCCTTCCACTTTTAAAGTTTTCAAGTCCCAATTTGTTTGTTTGTTTTGAGACAGGGTCTCACTCTGTTGCCTAGGCACTACAACCTCAAACTCCTGGGCTCAAGCAATCCTCCTGCCTCAGCCTCCCCAGTAGCTAGGACAACAGGTGTAGTTATCATGCCCAGCTAATTTTTTAATTTTTTGTAGGGACAGGGTGTCACTATGTTGCTCAGGCTGGTCTTGAACTCCTGGGCTCAGGGGATCCTCCTGCCTTGGCCTCCCAAAGTGCTGGGATTACAAGTGTGAGCCACTGCGCCTGGCCCCAACTTTGTTTTCTTTCAAAATAAACTAAATACCAATGAGTAATGTGGCTCTACAGTAAAGATATAGAAAAATATATATATACACTAATTCTGACATTGGTACCATTGTGACTGACATTCTGCTTGCAGACATGCTATGGTATGGGAACAGAGCACTTCCATGGGTGAAACCCAGTGAGCCCACCTTAGGGAAGGGACCCTGGTCCATTTCCTAACAAAGAGGTAACAGTGACACTGCCACTTCCTTCTCAAATATAAGGACATTTCCAAATTGCTTCAGTAATTTCTTCCTCCTCCACCTCACAATGTTCTTGGAAAAATATGCCGTAGGCGCAACTTATTTTCTTCTTCAAGGCAAGGTTTCATTAAAAATGTCCCAAATATCATTTTCATCAGACAATGAGCCTTGTTTCTTGTATGGTTTCTTCAATGAAATAGTTTTTAGTTAGGATTGCCAGATTTAGCCAATAAAAATTCAGGATGCCCAGTTAAATTTGAATTTCAGACAAACAACAAATAATATTCTACTAGATGTATGCACCATGAAATATTTGGCAACCCTATTTTTAACATCACATTGACTAAAAAGATATGAAATCAAGTCTTAACACATTCTCCCCTAGTTTGGGGGTGGAGCAGTGGTTAGGTGTGGAGCTAATTTTTTTTTTTCTGGCCCAGAATATTCTTTCTTTCTTTCTCTTTCCTCAGGGGAAGTCTCAGTGCCTCTTAAATTTCTCTCAGCATTTGCTGTACATACCACTCCCCTCACTTTTGATTATACAATGATTTGTGTTGTGTTTAAACGTGTGCTTACGAAGTCTCCTCCATGATAACGTACACTTTTAAAAGACAGAATGCGTAGCCCATCGCTTACCCCTTTCCACAGAGTTCCCCGGCGTCTTTCTTGCCTGTGCTTCCAGGCCGCCTCAGGTGGGTGGGGCGGATTCTGCACTCTCGCCTCTGACCCAGCGGTAAAGGGAAACTGAGGTTAGGGCCTCGGGCCCCTGGGAGGCGCAAGGACAGCGGAAGGCGAAAGCGAGGAGGGAGTTTAGGTCCTTTCCAGCCCCGCACAGCGCAGGGCTGAGGGCCGCGCGAGGCAGGCCCTCCGCTGAGGCCTGGCCTGGAGGCCTTCTCCGGGCGCCCGCGCCGGCCTATCCGCCCTGCTGCCCTGCAGGGACCCGCGAGGCCCGGCCCGCGCGCCTGGCCCCGGGGCCCCTGTGCCCGTGTGCGCTTGGGGGACCGACCGCTCCGGGCGCCCGGGTCGCGCGGGCTGGGAACCCCTGGCTCGCGGCGGGAGGTGGCCGCTCGCTGCCTCGCTTCTGCCCCGCAATTCTTCCCCTCATTTGTTGCATTGTTTGCATTAATATGAATATCTTGTTCTGTTTGTTTTGTCTCCTGGGAGCCAATAAAGCTGTGAGTTTTTTCTTTACACCAAATGCAGCTCTACGGGCGATCAATCAATGGGTAGTCTTCGGATAATCTGTGAGAGTGAGAAATCTAATAAAGCTAGCGACTAAAAAAGGAAAACAAAATCTATTTTTCTCTTAGGTTAACTACGTCAGGATTAGTGTGTTCCACTTCTGCTCCATGAGGTGGATTTAGCTCTTGTTTTTTTTTTTTTTTTTTTTTTTGGAACAAATGGATTTAAATGTCAAGATGGGAGGGAGGAGGGCTGAGGGGAGAGAGAGAAGAAAGAGGGATGTTTAGGAGGCTTCTTAAATCTTCTGATGGTTGGCGGATTCTTCCAAGAAAAGGAAAGACGGTACTTTCTAAGGTCCCAGAAAAAGAGAAAATGAAGAGAAATGTAGAATTCTAATAAAATGTACTTTGACAAAGAGGTCCTTCTTCAGTTTTCCCACCAGACAGGAAATGTAAATTAATAATGAAATTAACTAAGTGATGATGATAAATCAAATTATTATTAGTGTCCTCATCACTTGTCTGCTCCCACTAGCCCCTCAACTTAACTCCTCAAATGCATTATTTGGAAGGCCCCTCAGCTATCCTGAGCAACGCGATAAAAGATGAGCAAAGATCTTCTGCCTGGGCTGCTGCAGTTCTCCCCATAAGCACAATGCAACCAAAATCATTTATAAACAGATCAAAATAACAATCTGAATTATCTAACATTAACAGCTGAACTGAAGAGCCCAAGATTATGTGATGAATTGTTAAATTGCAGTAGCATTGTTTTGGATTGCTAATTAAAAAAAAGTAAGCAAACCCCATGACTCTAGATATGACAACTGAAAATACCCACAAATTATTTAATAAATGAAGCGTCTAACAACTTTAACACTTCCTGGTCGCCTTGTTAATAAATGTAATTTGAGGTAGATTTTAAAAATCTTCAATCTAAACAGTGAATTCATTACGCGCCATTCAGATCTCTGGATGCCTATGGACTTCTTGGAATTAGGTGTTAAATAGACAAAAGTGAACCAAACTGCCTTTAAAAGCACAGCATGACCATGTAATTCTTTTTCCAGTTTGTGGTAAAAAATGATGAAACTTCTTTCCAAGTAGCTATCACCCAGATTTAGTGTGAAAAGTAGCGTAATTGTAATTCACGCCATCAGGGTCTATCGCTGATAGACGATCAGCTGTTCTGTAGTGGGGAGAGGCTTTCTTTTCAAATAGGAAAGCTGCCAAGTGCTCTGCGATACCTCCAGCAAGCTTATCGGATTGAGTTCAGAGCCAAAACAGCAGCTGCACACATATGCAAATTGGCAATTAATAGTATAACATTCTGCAAAAAAAAAATGTTTAAAAAAATTTTTAAAGAAAATAGAAAGAAGCTACCTGAACGTTAACCTTAAGTGTAACTGGGACTTCTAAGATGAATGACTAAGGATTAATTACCCTCTGGAGAGGACTTGCTCTTTAATACCTTCTCTCCTGCAGATCAAGTCTTTGTTGTCTTGCTGAGTTTTGTCTGTTTCATGGAGCACAACAATGGGCTCTACAGGAAGAAGTTTAAAATAACTAAAAAACCCTTATATTTTGATTCCAGAAAAGGGGGGAATTAAGTCCTTTTCATTGATCATTCTTTCTATACACAGAGATTACAAAGTAAGAGCTTTAACATACTCGTGAAAGACATTTTGTTCTGGATGTTATCATCTCCTTCCACTACAGCTTGCAATAGGAACAAGCTTCACGTCCTGGGGGTGCTGCCTATCTGTCTTGATTTCTGTCTGTCTCTTCCTCTCATTGACAGGAATGTCATTTGTATGCTTCACGCAGCAGTTTGCAAAAATCCAACAAGGTTTATGGTTTATGTTGCCCAGCATGTATAAACATAACACTCTCAAATGTTTTTTTAAAAATCATATGAATTTGTTATATTTCTTAACATTCTGGTCCCTCTACCCCACCCCAATTCTCACACACAAGTACACTGTTTTCCTGATATAGTCATACGATAGTTGTGGCTGGGATTAGGTTGACAACCTAAGCCCCAAGAAGGGTCTGGCATTTTCACAGCAGCCTTTCCCCAGTGCTTTGAGTCTTCCTCTCCCACTCCCTTTTTCTCCCTCCCTCTAGCACAGGGCAGGGGGAGGAGGTGGGGGGGGATGATTAGCAAATGTTTCAGATAATCTGTGAATTCTTAATAGTTATATTTCCATGGTTGAAGATCTCCCTATTTCTGTGATGTGACAGGTTTCAAAAACCTTGGTGTTAGGGGTTTTACAGATATTTCCAAGTTCCAGGAGTTTGAAATTTGGGTCAAGATCCTGATTCCCTTTAGTATGTGAGGGCAAAGGCGATTTTATTTTGCTTTATTCTTCCGAATGTTATGGGATGAGATTATATCCAATCCTGGCTGTAACCTGTACCATAAATGCAGAGTTGCAACCATTATTTCTGCCTTTTTCTCCTTTTATTATCTGTACTTCTAATGTTATTACTTTGAGTTTTATTGCCATCAACTGTGTCTTTAGTTTTAAAACATTCTTTTTCATACACCCTATAGGGGCACTTCTCTCATAATCTGAGACAAATTTTGGACTATTAATATTCCAGCTGAAAGTATACCATACGCTTTCATTGCCAACATGGGCTTTGAAGCTTGAATATCAACATTTTGATAGGAAATTCAATCATGTAGAATTTAAATGTATTTGTTCATATTTCTTAGAAAAAAAGATTTTGGATAACCGTCAATTAAGTGTCCAATTCCATTTGGGGTGCAGAAAATTTTGAGCCCCTGGATAAGAAGTAAAAAAATTATTTCCTCTAAATAACCAATTCTAGATTAGTAGATTGCACTTTTCTAAATATTTATGATTAACAAAACTTTTTTTGTCTGATTCCAATAGAAGCATCCTATGTTCTGAAGACTATAAAAGTATGGGAGAAAAAAATGTCAAGTCTAAATTTTAACCATAAGTAAGGCATTGTTTTTCTGGACTTGCGATACAATGGGAATGCATTGCTAGACTTTTCTATTTTCTTATAATTAAATAAAAAATAGTTTAAATGATAGAGCAAGCCAATTGAAAAGTTGCTTTTGAATAAAACAGAAAAATGGGAATGCCAACTTTCTTTTCTTCTCTATAACTTCATTAACATGGTTGTATAGACATTTGCATGTAAAATGTAGTTAACAAAAATTACACAGAAGTAAATTTAGTCCTCTAGTGCTTACCTCTATGGTGAAATCAGACCATTTGGCATAGCTTGAAGTCTTCCAAGAAGCCTGGTTTCCACCTGGAAAATAAATTACTAAATTTGAATGTGTTACTTATACTATGGTGAGTTGTCTATCTGTTACATTTTATTTTAGTGCATATACTAGAAATTGTATTTAGAGTGTTCTAAAATTGTCATCTGTCAAGGTAGAGAATTATAATAATATAATTAAACCCAGAAAAAGTGTTCTGACTTTAGATTATTTTGGCACTGTTACAAATATGATGCATTTTTAAAATTCAGAATGTTTATCACAAATTCATATGTTTAATTGTCAATTTTTGAGATTGATTTAGATTAGCTATAACCAAAGTTTATTTTCTATGAATTTATTAATATATAGTTAATGCTTATACATGAGCTTCAATATAACACATATATACTATTGCAATATTTAGCTGTACTTACTTTGCTTTATCTTTAAATGGTATTTCATCTCAAAATTTTCTGAGTTTGATAAATACCAAATATTTATCAAATGATTGTTGCATTCTCAATTCACCAATATATCCTACTGTTTTAAATTATAAGCAGTTTGACTCTGAGTTACAAGAACTATTTTAAGTAATCAAAGATTCTATGTTGTATGACATAAAGTATCATAATGAGATTATTAGTGAGATGTCGTGGTAAGTGAAGACACTACTTGCTGAATTATCCAGATAAAGACTACGTTTTATAATGCTGTAGGTGTACACAGAGGGAGAAGATGTAGGTGTGGACCTTGGCTCTATAAAAACTTAATACTCACAGCTAGTGAAAAGAGGAAACCATGTGTCTTATTAAAATATGTAAGTTTTTCTTCATCTCAAATGATAGTCCTTTACTCTCCTAAAGGAAGCAATTTTTCTTTCTGAAATGTACATTTTCTAAGTTGAGTTAAATAACCTGAATAATTATGGTTGTGGAATTTTATACTGTCAAGCCCAGAAACTTTAGAATTTACTGCAATATGCCCAAATATATATAATTACTATACCACCTTTATGATTATTGTGTTTGTTATTTCTAAAATCCTAAAGCACTTTGTGAATCCAGGTGACTATGTAATGGATACCACCTTCTATGGGAGTAAGAAAAGAAAAACTTGATTCATATTTAAAGGTGCTATATTTGAACAATATGATGTTAAAATATTTTCTCTTAGTACAGGGCATTTGTTTAAAGAATTTATCTGGAGGACTCAGGACATACTCCATATAGTAAATTAGGAGCCATTACTTAGGATGATAAATAGGGATTAATTTTAGAAAATCATACCTCTAGGAAATTTACTTGGCCATTGGATTAATAGAAGTGATGGTGACAGAATAGTAATAATTTCTTAGTTAAGCCCTTTCTCTGTGCTAGACACTTCACATACATTCCCTCATTCAATCATAATAACCACCTAGGGAGACCAACATTGTTATCTTTGTTTTACTGCTGAGAAAAATGAGGTTAAGTTTAAGTTACATAGCTAGAAATGGATGAGCCCCTAGAGCTATGGGACTCTAAAGTCCATGCTCCTATCATGTGATGTGGCTCCACTCTGGTTTCTGAAGGATGAAGAATGGAGGAGGTTTGCAAATTGTTTCTTTCCCCTCTTAAAATTCCGTTTCCCTTTTCTAAATCCAAAAGAGTAAATGAAGTAGTCCAGGAATTTAGCAGTGTAGTCGAGGTCCATTTGATTAGGAAGTCTTTATATGACTAGAAACAGGATTGCTTTGGCACATACATAAAGACTGGGAGATCTACACATCCATCCTCAAATTTAGCAATTCGAAGCAGTTAGCTACACGGACAGTTTTGTATGCATTGCTAAATGCAGACACAAAAACTGCATTTGCAAAAAGAGGAAACCCAGTTAAACTAGGTTGCAAATTTGGCCCTAATTTAGCGTAGCATTTGTGATACATATAGGTTAGAGTGACATTTATATAATGGTGTGAAATATGAGAAAGTTCCAATGCTAGACACAAAGACTTTTTAAAATTGCTTTTGCCTACTTTGGTTAGTTTAAGAAACAGGAGGAAGAATTTGGTTTTTCAAGTGATGGGAAGCCTTTAAGGATGTTGGAACACTGTTCAGTCCCCTGGGGTTCTGCCTGCTGTACAATTTTAAATGTCTTTTAGCTAAAAAATTGGCCAACAAGAGAAACATAGAGATGAAATCTCTTCTTTCTTATCGGGTAAATGAGAAACTATAGGTGGTTAACCTAATTCAATTTTGATGATCAAATAAATGGTCAGTTTTGGGGTCAGAAAGTCATAATCCTCCTAGTTAATGTTTCTATTTAACTGGAGTAACTACCTACGTATTAGAGTGTATTTTGGAAATTTTTTCCTTATGCTTGATTGTAGACATAAGTTTCAGCTTAAGAAATACAGCCAGAAATGTGACTAGATAAATACACTGTGTTTCATATAATGCTGCAATCATGGTACCTGAAACTATTTCCATTTCTCCATTGAGGACCACTGGAGGGCAGTGTTTTCTCCTTTGGGAGCAGCACCTGGTTTTAGATGGAGACTGCATAGATGTGTTAACAAGACAGCTGGGCGATGGGAAATGAGTTGCATTTCTAATTCAGGCTTGCTTGGAATTTACCCCCTCCTGTTTACAGGTTATTCAGATTGTTGCTTACATACTGCCAGCTAACTTAATGGTACCTAGAATCAGATTCCAAAAGATCCTGTACAATATCTACCTGCTATTTGGGAATCTTTTAAAGCTTTACATTAATTAATATTTGAATATTGTGTAAAGTTTATCTTGCTAATATAAACAGCAAATGAAAGAAAGACATTCAAGCAAGAGTAAGTAGCTTTAACTAGCTGGTTTGCACTTGACAATTTCAATATTTCATTAATTTTGCCTTACATTTATTAAATTTTTACATTACATTTTAAAATTATATTTAATTATTTTCAGTATAATTTTATTACCTATATGTATACATTTATATGCTAATTGAATTATTTTAATTGTAATAGTCATTTGTTTCATTTTTAAACATGAAAATATCACATATTTTACCTCTGTGATTTTGTCTAACAAAAGATTGCTACTTTTGCAAAATCAACATATAATTTTAGTGTAATGATTTACTTGATTTATTTTCAATACAGTGCCTAGAAGCTTACCTGGGACTTTACCAAAATAAGGCACTTGAGGAAAAACAGAAATATCAATGTCTGTATCATAAACATTTTTCTTTTTTTTTTTAATATTCCACTCCGAGTTACCAACTCAAAACATTTTTTAAGTATTTTATTTTTATAACATTATTTCTGATTACAAAAGTAATACATGTTGGCCAGGTGTGGTGGCTCACGCCTGTAAACTTAGCACTCTGGGAGGCCGAGGCGGGAGGATTGCTTGAGCTCAGGAGTTCGAGACCAGCCTGAGCAAGAGTGAGACCCTGTCTCTACTAAAAAATAGAAAGAAATGATCTGGACAACTAAACAGATATAGAAAAAATTAGCCGGGCATGGTGGCACATGCCTGTAGTCCCAGCTACTCGGGAGGCTGAGGCAGAAGGATCGCTTGAGCCCAGGAGTTTAAAGTTGCAGTGAGCTAGGCTGACGCCACAGCACTCTAGCCTGGGCAACAGAGTGAGATTGTC